TTTTAAAAAGATTTTCTGATTATAAAATTTCATAAAATTTCAAAATATAATAATATCATCTGAAAAATGCAGAGTCTGAAAAATATAATAAGGTACGTACCTAAATTTTCATATACAAGGGCAGAGAAGGCAGAACAACCAGGACCTCCGGTGAGCCAAAGCACAAGAGGATCATACTCTGGACTCCCTTCAGACTCAAAGAAGTAATAAAACAGCTGCACATCATCCATGCTGCCCACTCCCACGTACCTTTATATAATTAAACCCTTAAAATATATTATTCATGGTCATCTTTTGTATTAATGTAAAGTACTTAACAGAATAATAGTTATAAGAACTAACCCAGTTTCAAGCTTAAAGGGGAGGTCACCGCGAAAGCCGGGTAGGGTTTTGATGATATTGGACGTTGATGCAACATTAATGCTCAGAAGGGTCAACAGAAGAAGTGCTTGTGGCAACATGGTGATGATGATATACTTGCTGCTACGCATATTTCATCACATATATAGAGAGGATGGCTTTATGGCTCTACTGTGAATTTAGGAAGCGTGCTATAATTGAATGTGTCTTTTTACTTCAGCCATGACGTGACTGGATGGTCTGGACATTAGGTGAATCCTCGAAGGAGACCCTCTTCATTCAATTATCCCTTTTTTATTGAGTAATGCCATCTCACATGGCAGTTGAGGTAGACATCCAATTCATTAAAATTATATTAGTTTTTTTTTTTACATATCAATTTCTTATTATTTTCATTAATTAAAAAACCTAACCCTACTGGATTAGAGACTCTTCAGATTTCACTTTGTCTGTCGACCTCCCCCAATTCCATCTCTCCCTACTTCCTCTCCTCCCCATTGGCGGCACTCTGCTGGACCTATGCAGCCGATCCATCTCCTCTTCACCGCCGCAAGACTCCCTCCTCCTTGGCTTTTTGGTCAGTACACATGTAATAACAACTGCAAATCTGCTTGATCAAGACCCATATCATGATCAACATCATCGCAGTATAATGGTTCTTCTATGAGAGGTTATGGAGGTAGTCGGAGCTGGTGATGCAAGGAGCAGTGTTATGACCCCTCAACTACCTTTGATCATAGACTGTAGACATCATCTCAAAGGTGGACTAACCAAAAATTAAAGGTGGAGGGAGTGGAGCGGTGGCGGATCGACGGCAGAGGAAGAGGAAGAGAGGGAATTTGGGGAGGCCAACAGGTAACGTGAAAATTGAAAAGTCTCCAGGGTTAAGTTTTTTAATTTTCTTTAATTAATGAAAATTATAAGAAACTCATATCTTTAAAAAATATATATAATTTTAATGAGTTGAATGTTCACCTCAACTGCCACTTGAGATGGTATTAAAAATGTGGTATAATTATGTGGTAAGCATAGCATTACCCTTTTTTATTTGTTTAGCCTAGTAATAATATGAATATGTTTTCCTATCATAAAAAAAATAAAAAAGTAAAAATAAAATAAAATATGTTTTATATTTTGGGAATTGTATTCTTCTTTTGGCTTTTGAAGGAGAATGATTGTTACGGCGGGAAGTGATCACAAGCTAAGAGATCAGTGCATCTGAAAACAAGTGGGTGTGTTGATCAATTGTTTGGAGAAATTCTTCCTGTGGATAAGGTGGGACCCCAATACAAGGTTTTAGCTTAGTTGTGGGATGGGCGGGAGAAAAACTTGCAATTTCCGATCAATAATTCTATTCTCTACGTAGAAGTGTTATCACGCCTGTCAGCGTTATTGACAATAAATAACAAGTTTTCTGCTTTTTATTGATATGCGGAAATTGAACCATTTTTTGGATCCAACTAATGGTCAGCCACCAATTAGTCAACTTAGTCTTCTCTGCACCTCTCTTTGATTGTTGTTCAAAGGGTATAAGATTCACAAAGGATCATCATCCAGATGATGATTTTTTGCATGGTTTTTGGTTTATTTACTACCCAACACTGTAACACATTAACAATGAAGATATATTAAATAAAACTGATATTTGATTTATGATTTCATGTCAGTCTTGGAAGAATTGACTCAAACAGACACAGACGAAAGGGTAGTATTGACATTAATTTTGGGATACAGCAATAGAAATTCTGACTACAGAGGGTAGTATGCGAACCACCGACTAATCATAGCATGACATTCTTCAGGCTTGTACTCTGGAGCTGTGTGACCCGCTCCCTGAAAAATCAGAAAATTTAGTCTTAACTTTTGCTCTAGCAAATTGCAGTGTTGGAATAATTCAAGTTCATGATGGGTCTTGGCTTCTTGCCTTTATAGTTGTATATGTCAACTGGTACTTTTTATCTGAGTACTGCACTCTGTATCTAAAGGGCAAAAAAAGAAAAAGAAGAAGGCATAACTATGAGATAGTTGTAATCTGATTTTGAGACTGAAATCAACTTAAACAGAAGAAAGAATAAGGACATGAAAAAATAAAAAGTGAGAAAAAAGCTGAGATAGATATCAACCCTGCAACCTGCCCGTCGACGAACCATGGCTTCCAACGACTGTCAACAGTCAAGTTCAGAGATTCTATCCAAGCCATAGTAGCCACATATGGAATATCCATGTCATGATCACCACTGTGAATATACAAGCTATGTGTTCAGAAGAAATGGTAATGTGAGAATGAATAGATTGTGTGAGATTCTATTAACAGAAAGCTAAGCCTAAGGTCTGATTGCATCTCAACCACGCCTTAATGCTTCCCTGATTGTCATTTAAGACAGAAAAATTAAAGTACTGTGATATGTCATGAAGAATATATTTGGAAGGAACTAATTATAATTACCTTCTGAATATGAAGAGCATCTTGGACAGTTTTGTCATTTGCCCAAATATAAGAGAAGAGATAATTGTAACGCTGCATTAAAATAAGGCAGATATACGTTGACTCAAACTTTACATTTAGTACAACAAACACTAATGAGTAACCCACAACCTACAGATAAGTTACTGCTATGTCCTATGCATTGTGTGTGTGCATGCGCGCGCGCGCAGAGAGACTTACCCGACACCATGGCCTAGGAAGTTGAGGAAAGGAAAGGAGGAGATTTACAGAGTCCTTATCGCTAAAATAGTTTACGTTCCACTTTGACCCTGCTGCTTTTGGCGATGCTACTAAAGTACATGAAGGTTCCAATATCTGTGCACTCTGTATATCTTCGATACACTGCCGATCCAATTGTGAAATCAGTATTTTTATCCTACATTACTTAAAAATGACAAGTAGTTGCAGAAACAAAAGATGTGGCTTTATTTTCACTCACCTCGTTGTAAAGTTCAAGATCCTCCAAACATAACGTGTTGTTTGGATCCACATTGATATACTCTCCCTTGCAGTTTTTTTTCATTGACTTGCAAAATATAAAAATCACAACCAGATTTAAGAAAGACAGTCTTTTAGCAAGAAATGAAGTGAGTATGCAAGTGCGTAGTCACCTGGTATAGTTCATCTGATATAAGTGCTTTTAGGTATGCAAATAACACTTTGTAATTATTATCTTTTTTTTCATCTGTCACTGGATTTCCAAGCACATATCCCTGCAGCCCATATATATGGAACAATATTATTATCTGCCCTACTGTTAAGGCCTACGGGCATATGATGAGAAATCATTCAAATTATAATGGCAGAAAATGTACTTTGAGATTCATTGGTGGCACATGTTCATCTTGATTACCTACATAAATATAAAAATAAATTAAAATCAATACCTCATGAAACTAAGTTTTTGCCCATCTGATATTCAATATTATTTTCATGTGAGACTGAATCAAAGCTCAAATTTAAGAGGGTTGCCAACTTACCATCTGATATTTCCTGAACGAGCATAGGAACAATTATGCCTGAATAAGAATCTCCAGCAATATAAAGTGGATTATTGTAGAACTTGGGATGATCCATAAGCCACTGCACCACAACAGTGAAAACAACAACGCAGCTAGCTAGATATGGAAGAAAAGTGTTTCATATTCAACAGCCAATCATGTCGATTTTCAAAGGAATTCTTAATCACTAGAATTAAACCTCTCACCTTTCTAAGAAATTCATATGTCTGTGCGGCTGACAAGGTGTCATTGAGATTGCTATATCCTTCCCAATTTTTTGCATATGAGAATCCTGTGCCCACTGGTGCGTCTAAAAATATTACGTTGGCAACCTGAAAGTTTGGGATATTGTTCTTCTCAATGTTATAAGAACCTGAATAGTTGCTAAAGATCACATACGTACAAGACATAAACACAAACACCTACCTTTGTCCATGAATATGGATTCAATTTTAATTTTGGTTTGTTGCCAATGGAATGTGCATAGTCAAAGGATAGTGGACCTACAACAAAGTTCGTATTAAATAGTCCTAGTTAGTAAAATACAAAATGGGGAAAGTACAACTTAAAAGTTCGATCATTATATAATATTAGTTAATCTTCAACCTTCACTATTATTTTTGAAGCATGACAAATCGAGTTGGTTTACATCTTTAATTATTTTTCAGTTGTTGATAAATAATAAATATAAGAACATGTACCATGTCTAGTGAATAACATGAAAAATGTAAAATATTGTAGTAAAAAATTATAAATAAATTACTAGAATGTATTTTATTTTCTTTCATTAATTACTCCAGATTTTCTAAGTTGCAGAATTTGTCAGCTCGCAATATAATCAACTTAAATTACTCAAACCCACTATGCAATGCATTTACTTCCAATTTTTTGTGGCAAAATAATAGATGAATGACTAAATAAACTTATTCTAAAGTTTCATTAAAAAATTTCCATGTATTTATCACAACTTCAGTGGTTTTTGTCCAATTTTTATCGATATTAATATTTTCTCCATATTTCCATGTTTTGGAACCAGCGATATTTCCAAAAACCCCGATATTTAAGACCCTGATCGAAATTAAACCCAATAAAAAATACACAAAATATACGTAGAAAACCTACACACTCATCAACTTTGCGCTTGCTTATAACTTGGGGTGTACGGCTTTTGATGGGTCCTCTCCCCTGTTTTTGAGGCTCTTGGGCTGGGTTAGTTTGCTTTGTAGGTTTACTTATGTGCCTTGGCGAAAAGAACAAAAAACAGAGAAAACAGAGCACACCTTTATATATATATATATATATATATATATATATATATATTGTGATGAAGGTCTTCCCTATCTTTTAAAAAGATTTTCTGATGGTCTGATACCAACGTCATAAAATTTTAAAATAGAATACTATCATCTGAAAAATATAATAAAGTACCTAAATTTTCATATACAATTCCAGAGAAGCCAGAGCAACCAGGACCTCCAGTGAGCCAAAGCACAAGAGGATCATACTCTGGACTCCCTTCAGACTCAAAGAAGTAATAAAACAGCTGCACATCATCCATGCCGCCCACTCCCACGTACCTTTATATAATTAAACCCACAAATTATATAATTCATTGTCATCTTTTGTATTAATGCAAAGTAATTAACAGAGTAGAAAAAAATAGTTATAAGAACAAAGATACCAACCCAGTTTCAAGCTTGAAGGGGAGGTCACCGCGAAAGCCGGGTAGGGTTTTGATGATATTGGACGTTGATGCAACATTAATGTTCAAAAGGGTCACCAGAAGAAGTGCTTGTGGCAACATGGTGATGATGATATACTTGCTGCTAGGCATATTTCATCACATATATATAGAGGAATGCTTTATGGCTCTACTGTGAATTTAGGAAGCGTGCTAGAATTTAAGGAATTTGTCTTTTTTCTTCAGCCATGACGTGATTGGATAGTCTGAACATTAGGTGAAACCTCTTGATCATCAACAAGGAGACCTTCTTCATTATATTATCCATTTTTTGTTTGTTTACCCTAGTAATAATAGTTTTCGTGTCATAAAATAAATTTGTATGTAAGATTTCTGTAAAAGAAAGACGAAAGTGAGACCAGTAGGGGAGTTAAAATATTAGAAAATTTGGTATAAGTTCAATTCTGATAAGAGAGATGTTGGGTGCAATTCAAGCAAAAGTTGTTGATCTAAGTCTTTTGACTTTTGCGCTACATAAGATTACATGCCTTTTTTTTATTTTATTTTATTGATGTTTATTCTATTTATTTTCTAATTATTTCGTTGTTCCAATTATACCCTTGTGAATTATGGATTTGTAAAACCGGTAAATTATTGATTGAATGCTACTATTTCCACCCCCTTGTCCTATCTTCCCACTTGCCTTATCTTCAAAATTTTAAAGACTTGTAAATTGACTTCTAATGACTTAAGGAAAAAAACTCAACTAACATATCCCATCTATTCTAGGGTTTGACAAAAAGAAGAAGAAAAAATTAAAGAAGAAAGCGTACATTTTTTCCCCTCTCCAAAACCGGCCAATAAAAAATTTTCACGTTTCAATAATTAATAACAGTAAAATAAAATTGAACCAAACAAATTAAGAAAGTCTCATATTCTCTCTCTTCACTTTATCCGTCTAAACAACTCAGGTCTCATAGGAAACCTTTTTTCTTTTCTTCTTTTTTTATCATTATCAAAGCTGCACAGTGATATCCAACTTGCACAGCCTAATTTGGTAGTGAGTTCTCAACTGCACAGTGTTTTTTTAAGGTAGAAGACAGAAATTTCGGAGAGGCAAAAACAAAGCAATGAAATAGAGGAATAAAAAGTTCTCAATCTGCATGTCAAATATGCTATTCCACCAAAGAATTGTGATGATGTGGAAAGAGAAAGTGAAAAGAGTTCGTGTTGGTTTTAATCGGAGTTGGTCCTAATT